TTCCACCTCGAAGGCCTAGCCTATGTTCCTCGGGTAACCTGGACGCAAAGCCAAGGTTTATTTCATCTCTTCCCCTGGGTGACATTCATTCTCTGTAACAGCTTTCACATACATTTATGAACTATACTGAGTACAACATAAGGGCTAAACAGTTGCTGATCAACAAACACAGAAACCTACCTAAGAGATTCAGGGAACCTGTTTCCTAGGTTGAGTGATGCTCTTCTGTCAGATAGTACCTTTCACGCATCAGAAGGCACCTTGGTTCATGGCTCCAAAGGGGCTTCTAGCACACTTTCAAAAACTAAGTCACATGTTGGCGGGTATGGGGGATGCAAAGTAATTGAGATGGAACCTCCCAGAAGTCAGTATCATAATTACAAGTCCAGGAAAGAAAATTTTGTGATACTATGGCAATGTCAGTTATGGTTTTGTAAGTCATCTCAGTGATGGTATTTGGTGTTAGCTAGTGATAGCAGTCTTTTGGTTAGAAAGAAGGGAATACAAACAGTGCTTTAGCTTATACATGCTTACAGTATATTAAGTGCTCTACATTTTCTTAGGTCTTACAATTGAAGTTATACGAACTGGATATTTGTGCTCCTATTTTAGAGATAGAAGACAGTAGGCAACTAGCTCATGGTCACAGAGATGACTACTGGTTAAAAGAGATTTCAAATCTTGTCTATTTGTTCTCTAAATCTGCAATCCTCCCACATCACTGAAATGTGATCTTGGGGTCATATAAGTGATGCCAAATGGTATCCACATTAAACCTTCACATCAGACCTAGCAAGCTTTCTATGCCTTCAGATCAGTACGAGAATAGACACTCATTGGCACAAGAGAGAGTGAAATACGAAATTTTTCTTTGTTTCAATGATCTCTACTTAAAAAGTAGACTATGGTCTTTCCAGAATAGCTAAAGTGAAGAGAGGAGTGAGCTACATTAGTGCCTTTCAAACAGATCTAATTAAAAAGATAAACCAAATTACATTAAACTACACCACTATGTGTGCTTAGAGGAATTTGCTCTGAGAAGAAATGTGCTGGGCTATCCAGAGACTGTGACAGGCTCCTAAGACAGGAATTGTGTCAGTAACTATCACTGTGACTTCAGACAAGTTATTGTCCTTCTTTGGGCCCCAGTTTCAGAGAGAGAGGCAGGAGAGGGAGAGAGAAAGTGGAGAGAGAAAAAGATTTCACAGTAATCACTGAAGTAATCACTGAAAGCTATTTGCTTTTTATGTCATCTGATAAAAGCTATAAATCCCTTTCTCAAAGAACACACAGATCATACACACACACAGTTGTGAATTCTGATTCTTTTTACTCTCAGATTTTCTGAAGACCATTCATGGACCTCTGAGGAATACACTGACTCATTTTAAGACACCTGCAACATGTGCTGATGGGGTCAGAGTCTTATTTACAAAAAGAACCTTTATATTTTAGACATGGAACTTGTAATATTTTCAGGTGAAATGATTTGATGGCGAGAGTTTGCTTTATAATGATCCACGCTAGGGGTGGCGGTGATCACGATGGCGTAATGTGTAAAACAACACAGTACTTACTTCCTATGAATTATAATTACTGAAATCAGGTGGCAGGGGCTATGGTAATTGTTTATACTACTTTTCTTGTTTTGGTGTGTATTGAAATTTTCCATAATGAAATAAAAATACACAGTCCATAAGTTTAAAAATATCTAGAATAGATGATCTCTAATATTTCTAATTTTAATGCTCTGATTTAGTATTTCAAAGAATTAGCAAAGTGAATGTACTTCTGGAGATATTTTAGCAATTCATTTTATGTTCAGAGATACTTTATGTGCTTCTATGGCATCAGGCAGTCTACGCACACCTTTCGTATTTTATGATATTATGTGGGCCCTTCGCACTGGAAGGCTTGTGATGGTACCATTTTACAGATGATTCTGTGATACTCAAATTAATTACTTCTACAATGTAACCAAGGGAAAGAATCTTGAGTAAATGTAAAGAAAGTAGGCAAGAATTAGTTACTAATCACTTCATATGATCATAGGGCTCAATTTATTTTCAAAGATTTCTTAAGATAAGAAGACACAACCAATGTGGCAAATGACTTTTAGTGGTGTGTAAAAAATCCTTAGGACATCAGATGAAAGGGGCTGACATAAAATAGTGCACAAGCATGAAAGACAGCTGCAAGCAGGTTGAAAGGGCTTGTCTGTGTGACTCAACTAGCTACATGATCTTGGGAAGTCATCTAACTCTTCTGAGACTCCAATTTTCTATCATAAAATGGGGATTATAACAGAATCTCTTACTTTGAAGGTGGTGATTTCTGTTAGTTTTTAATTTACTTTTTATTTTTTAGTTTTTTGGTACCAGGGATTGAACTTAGGACCTTTTATTTGCCAGGCAGGTGTTTAAGCCACGTGGGGAGAGCTATCTCCCCAACCCTGAAGAGGGTAATTTCTGACTTATAGGAAGTATTCAGTATATGCACTATTCTGTCAGTTATGTAAATATATCAAAAGATAAAAATGATGTAAAACATAAATAAAATGCTGCCAGTAGTTGCTTCTGAGTTGTGCATCTACATTTTCAAATATACACAGAATATTTGTCACTCTTACACTGAAAAAAAATTTAAAAAAGTAATTAAAAAAAAGGAATTTTAAGTCTTCCTTTAGAGGGTTTAATGCTCCGACTGACCCGAATTATGTTTGCTCTATGTGATATATTTTTTAAAAAAAGTTTTATTAATATTTGTAACTGACATCATGATTATATTACATTTATAGAGCAAAGTGTGATGTTTTGCTATATGTACACAACACCATGTGGAAATGATTAAATCAAGCTTCCGAACATATCCATCGCCTCACTTACTTGACATTTCCAGTGGTGATAAGCTACATCTATCTATCTATCTATCTATCTATCTATCTATCTATCTATCTATCTATCTATCTAGAGAGAGACTTTCCCAGGAGAGTAAAATACAGTGATTCCTACTGCTCACATTTTCCCTACTGAGATCTCATCTTCAGAGAGGAAGAGTCCCATTAATGCCAATGATCTTTAAAATGTGGTTATCTGAGTAAAGGAGGGTACATCCTTTCTCTGCTTTTGTTTAGTGCCACCCTGATCTCTTACCACACCAGTAGTTACCCTTCTGTGAAGGGTGTGTGCACTTCAAAAATATCATGAATGCCTCCACATGAAATATTCACATTCTAGTATACTATTTTTACTCAGTTTCCTGGGGTCCAGGGGTCCATCCATTGTCTTTCTCCACTTACTAAAGATGACTAAACCATGAGTACAAATGTGGAAATGCATAAATACGCATCGGGTGTGTAGACCACTTTGACAGAAACTGACTTATATAAATCTGAAACCACAAGCCAGACAAATTGGATAATTATGGGCATTACTTATGAGATTTTCACTTTGCCAAATAATTTACATTAGGATGTCTATAAATAGCAAACCCATACAGTATGTTTGAACCATGCTGGTGTTTATCCAAAAGCTAACACACCTACTGCAGAGCAACAGGCCCAATTCAAAAAAGTTTAATACCAATTACATTCTTGTATTTAGTTCTATTTAAAGAGCATTAAATAGAATTCAAAATTATAGAAAATTGAAATGGCTACTCCCCTATATCACTTTTAAGACTGATGGTCAGTTTGAGAGCATGTGAACCCCCTAAACTTCTAGATAGAAGAGATGCAGGATGTGAGCTGTGAGACTGCTTTGGAGTAGATGATCTGAGGGGTAACGGAGTTCATTTCCTTATCTCACAAAGGAAGAAAGGTGCGAACACGCTGCACCAGGATGGAAACTTGGTGGTCTCCTGCATTTCTCACAATGATCTAGGAAAGTGGAGGTTTTACCCTCATTTCCAATCAAAGTTTAGAGTAGTGGACACTCATGCCCATTGTGAGATGGTGGGCAATTAGCAGAGAACAAAATAGAAATTAATAAAGCAATATTTCTATCATAGGTGATCATCTTTGACAGTTAACTGTAGGATGCTGGGGAATGCACAGTGGCACCACCATGCCCTTCCAAGATGTGTGCAGGGACACTGGGCCGCACTTTTTCTTGCCCCATCTAACTTGCCCTCTAAACTAGCACCTGTGTTTCCTTTGCGGGTCTGCCTTCTATTGCAAAATTGCCTGGGATATTCACAAGGAAATAAGTACAAAGAACCAGGAGTACGAAAATCCATATAACTACAAACTCCATCTCACGGTTTTCACTCCCAGCTGAGTTGCCATTTGGTGTAGCTCTGTTAGCAGACACATTTTACTTGATCCTCTTCCAAGATTTCCAAACATGTGCCTGGCACCCACAGGAGTTGCAGAGGAAGAGTAACAGTGACAGGAGAAGCGCTATGGAGTCAGGTTTGTGTATAGATGTTAGTGTGACTCTTATAACGACAAGTGTAAATTTTCAGAGTATTAACTTACAGGAGGAACACCAACTTTCTCATGAGTGCAGAATTTCTCTAGTTTTTACTATTAATAATATATCGATGGGCCCTGTAAAGCAAAAGGTCTCTGAGACCCTCAGGATAAATACTTCTTGCTGGCCCGGTGCCCGAGCTTTCCTGTATTCTATGCTGTCTCCATCCCTCTGCCTTCAGAAGCCGCCTAACACCTACAAGCGCTTGGGGGCAAAAGCAGGTTCAAAGCACCAAACAACCAAGACGCCTCTGCCCTTCCCTAAACCCAGAGTCCATGTGAATTGTGTGGGCCCCCAGAGTAGAAGCTTAGCGCAAGGGCTAGGGTCGGCGCGGGAGAGAAGACGTGGTCCAGCATCTTTAGCAGCAGGTCCTGCCGGACGTTCACGTCTCAAGGGACTGCTGGTCCTCGAGCCCAGGCCACGCTACGGACCCGTCTGAGTTCCCGAAGCAAGCGCCAGATAGGAAAGAAAACGAGAGCAGAGAGAGGGAGAGGTGAGTTTGTGTTCTCTTGAGTAAGTGTGCGGTACCTTGGATTCCTGGCTGCTGGTGGATGCGGGAGAGGGCGGCTGCTCAGCGCTCCCAGCCTCCTTGGGCAGCCCGTCCACGCCGTCCTCTCGGGCGCCGCTCGGGGGGATCATCGTGGCCGCTCAGGAACGGTGTTGAGCTTCTGGAGGAACCGCAAAGCTGTCTCCTGTCTCGGCGCGCCCTGCCTGCCTCGCGCGGGTCGCTCAGCTCCGGGTCCCGGGGATTCCCATCCACGCTAGGCGCAGGCTCGCCCGCCCTCCCCCGGCCTCGCCCCCGCCCCGGGCCCTGCCCACCTCCCCTGCACTTCCGCAGGCGGGGGGAGCGCGCCCGCCGCCCCGCCGCGCCCGTGGCCACCTCGCCTGCGACCGCACAGTCGTGACTGCCACCCACCCGGCAGCAGCGAGCGCGCTCGGGCTTGTCCGCCTGAGGAGCGGATTCGAGAGGCGGCTCCGGGGCGGGGCTCGCGGCCAAGCGTGGAGTATGGGGGGGGGGTGGTGGTGGTGGTTTGCCCAGAAGAGCTGTCTTGGAGGCTGAGTGCTCACCATCTCAGATTGGGGTGATTCCTTAGATGGGGAGATGCAAAGCCAGACCAAGCCCTCTTCCCCCGGAATGCAATGCGTAGAAAAGCCACAAATGGTATCGCTAGGAGGGACCACCTGCAACAACTCTCTTATCCTTCGCCCAAGAAATAAGGTCTGAGAGATACAGAGACTTAACTTCCCTACTCATAAGGTTCAGTGACAGAGAAGCAAGAATCACAGTGGAGGTTCCCATACTCGTGGGCAGTGCCACTAACCCAACTCATGTAGCAGGTAAATAATGCAATTAGTGTATGGACACCTGTTTCTCATTTTTGTGCATTTATTGAATTAATCTCTTTGCATGTTTTACCATGATTAAATCTGCACAACTATACTATGGGGCTAGGTACTATCACTTCCATTTTATAGGCGAGGGAACTGAAGCTTTTAGTGATTTGCTTTAAGTCATTCAGATAGCATTGGGATTTTGGCCCATTTTGGCTTTGAAGTCCATGCATTTTGAACTGTGAAGCCTGAAGCATGATCATAGTAGCTGAGGAGCAATCCGGAGGCTGGCACGTGTAGGACATACACAGAGAAGCAAGCTTTTGGAAGCTGTGGGGCAGCATCACCAAATAAAGGTACCTAAGAGTCTAGTTTCATTTGAAGACACAACCTGAATGAGCTGCAAAGGGAAATACATCTCAAAACTTAAAAGTCTTTTCCCTAGTGATAAAAACTCCTTTAAATTTCTAACTGAATTTTGTGAACTTGTAACTGAATTTTTGCAAGACCAGAATCAGGAGTGTCTAGCCTGTGCTCTTACAAAGGGCCCTATGCCTGTTTTAAAGCTCTTATTAAAAAGAAAAAAAAAATTAACAAGGGGCTGCATTTTTATTTTGCATTGAACTTTGCCAGTGATGTACATGGTCCTGCATTCTTGTTAGAACACCTGTGCTTGGCAATTGACTCCACCCCAGGCACCTGCTGAAAGCTCCTCTTCTGTGTGTGTTCCTTTTACAGTGTTTACAGTTTGCTCTGAGAGTGCTGTAAATTCGCTAGTGACTTTCACTTTTTTGGCCAGGCTTATATTTATTAACCTGAATGGTTACTGCTTTTCTTCCTTAAAACACAATTCTTGACTGCTCAATAAAGACCAAATTCTAACAACCAAGTCTTGACAGTAGCAAGAGGAAAAGACAAGGACAAGAGCAATAGTATCAACATGCCTTTATTAAGCACCTATTCTGTACCTGATCCCGTGCTAAAAGCTGATAGGCAGGAGATTGATTAAGTGTGTACTGCTGGAATTTGAGTCAGCTGAGAGAAACAGAGATTACACACACACACACACACACACACACACACACACACACACACAGAGTCTAATTAAATTCCCATTAGGAAAAGTATGGAATTTCAATGAGTGTCCAGATGAGAAACCAGAGCTACTAAGCTACCTTAGGGATTGTCTCTGGAAGTGAAGCTCTCAGGATCTACTGGAAATTGCAGTCTTAGTGAGCAGGCACATTCTGGCTGCTACAGTGTTCCTTGGTGGATTGATTTTTTTTTTTTTTTTTTTTTTTTTTTGGTAAAGAATTAAAGATGTTATCCGGTATTTAGGTAACTGCTTAGCTCTAGTTAGTAATCCTATTAGCCAGTAATAATAGAAAAAAAATATTTGTGATGGTAGAAACAAAACTCAAGATTTACTCTGGTTAAACACATATTCTTACCTCTAGGCTCCAATATTTTAAAATTTTTGGTAGGTTCTCACCATGTTGCCCAGGCTGGCCTGGAACTCTCGAGCTCAAGTGACCCTTTTGCCCCAGCCTCCTGAGTAGCTAGGATGGCAGGTCTGCACCACCCCATCTGATGCAAAATTTTCAAGAAGCTAATACTTCTCTCTTTGTCACCCTGAGCATATCTCAGTAACAGAAATCTTCAGCCTGATAAATAGTAGATAGCTATACTAGGAAACTGGGGACTTCTCTGTGGTTTCTCAAACTAACAAAATCTTTGCTTATGGATCTCTTTGAAATAAACCCTTTTCTATTCCATCTTTTTATCTAGATAACTTCTCTTATTCTTCAAGATACACCTGGAGGCATTTATTACTCTTGAAATTGTCATCTTGAACCCATGTATTATTCAGGTTTCCAAATCAGTGTTGTGTTGCCCGGGTATCCTTCCCAATGTAATCAATGACAAAGCTGTGTGTCCCTCCATTGGACTGGAACTTTGCTAGGGAAAGGATAACATTATGTTCTTGTTTCTTCAGCTCTCGTCCACATTGTTTAATAAGATGGTGAAAGAAGCTGCCCTTGTAGCTCTGAACTCTAAGATGATCCAGTCATTAGTTATTCCAAATATCCCTTACACACCAAAGAGAAAAAAAACCCCTACATGGTTTTAGGAAAAAAAAAGTGACATTTAAAATCAAACAAGTTCTGCAATACTTGAGATTTTTGTCTCTATTGGCTTGAAAGAGGATCTTAGACTAAAACTCATGGTTGTCTGTGAATGTGGGACTCTCTGGTGTGAACGAATGTAACCCACGTTTGGGGGTTGTCATGAAGTGGATGGAAAGCTGCTGTCTGAGTCCGGGGAGAGGGCTACTGACAGGAATGAAAGGAACTGTACTGGGAGCCTAGCTCACAGCTACTGTTGTTCTTGGATCTAGATCACATTCAGTTGCCACTTCTGCAGTAATGAGAATGCTCTCATTTGTTGTAAAGCAAGCCTGTTATTGAAGGAACATTGACAGACTCATGGCAATGTCCAGTGAGCAGTGGAGAGGATTTATAACCTCCATCTACTGAGGGGCAGGGCATGGTAGACCTAAAGTATACCTTTTCATGGCTGTATGTGAGATGCTGCCTTATACTACCATGATTATTTGGCCGAGAAGCCTATAAACCCTGTTTTAGAAGCTGTGATGTCATTTTAGCTATGGCTATGAAGACAACCTTATTTCCACTACAGGCTGGTAAAGCTTGGGAAAAGGGGCTGCAATCTAAGCCTGAACTCTAGCAGGATGTTGTGATTTCTGGATTTTCTTTTTGTAGTCTTTTTCATTGTGGTATGGAATATCATAGAGAACTGACAAGGGGGGAGAAAGAGAAAGAGAGAGAGAGAAAAAGAGAGAGAATGAATGAGAAGGAAGGGCTGGTTCTTAGTGTCTAATGAGTCACAGTAATCAGGTACATGAGAAGAGTATGGAGCTTGGCAATTAGAATGCAGATAATAACAACAGTTGCTGTGCACTGAGCTTCTATCATTGTAGGCATTCTTTATATGTTATTTTATTTAATTTCTACAAAATTTTTACAAGATAAAGAAAATTAGGCGCTACAGTAAGAGTTTCTACAAGGGCTTAACTGGTATATTTTGCTTTTGGGCCAACTTTTGGCTATTCTACTTTATGGTCACCTAGACCACACACACACACACACACACACACACACACACAAAGAGTTGAGATCTCTTGGAAGGGTAGAGGACTTTAGAGGGGGAATGAAAATTAACAGCTAGAGGCTTCCTGGGAGACAGAAGGAAAGTCCACAGATTAACAAAGTTATCTACTCCATTCTCCTTAAAAGTATATATAAGCCAGGTACAGTGGCATAGCCTGTAATCACAGCATGGGAGATTGAGGCAGGAAGATTACAAATTTGAGATCCCCCTGAGTAACTTAGCAACTTTGTGAGAACCTGTCTCAAAAAGGAAAAAAAAAGAGATGGGGATATAGTTGGATATAGCTCAGTGCGAAGATCTTGCATTCATGGCTCAGTAATGTCACACACACACACACACACACACACACACACACACACACACCAGGAGGAACCAGTCAGAATTTTTGTCTCCATTCCTCCTCTAGCTTGCCCAATGCACCTTAGCTTTTAAGCTCAGAGAAAACAGATGCTTTGTTCAAAGTCTTATTCTTTAGTTAGCACAATAACCTCACTTTAATACTCTTATTCTTAGCTTCAGTTTTCATAACAACTCATAACTGGCCTCTCCTCAGAGTTAAAGCTAGTATCTTAAATTGGAGACTTGTATTTGCAAGACAAATGAGATTCAGTTTAAGTATTCTTGCTTTTAAAGTGTCAATTAATAATAAAATACAATAATAGTTGATTCCATCATATAATAAATACTGTTTGACTCGATTAGAATTATTATTCCTTTTGGAAATGCTCAGAAGAGGAATTAGGGCACTAGTCATTTGTTACTTTACCAAACTATCTGATGATGGGTACTTTGCAGAGAAAATAGATCTATATAAGCTCATAGTTTGGGGGGATGCTAATCCCAACGGCATGGTGCTTCCTTTAGTGGGGAGTCCCCTTGACAGAATCACATTACATCATGACAAGTAGCTTCATGCCTGGAAGACACACAGAGGCATGATCCCATGCTGAGGCAGAAAACCAGGGAGCAACTGAGAGGTGACTGGGGTCCTACATTAATCCACTTCCTTAATCCCCTCCAAGGACATGCCTGCAAGATCAAAGGACCTTCCACTATGCGTCTCCTCTTAAAGATCTCATGATTCTTCACAATGCCACCTCAAAGTCCAGGCTTCTCCACATTTCAAGCCAGGGACAAAGTCTTATATATCTACTTTTATATCTACATCTATTTTTTTGCTCACCAAACCCAATGGCCATTTCACTC